TTGCCAGGAAAGAATTTGAAAGTTGGAGAGCAACTATCTGGGTGTCATCTTACTAGCTCAGCTCATCCATTCCACCACTTTATACCTGGACTTCATCCCAGTGGGACTGTTAATCACTGAAGAAATTACTTTGCATAATTGCCAATAAAGACACATTAAATTATACATTAATAATATAGCAAGTATAATACTATATATTTACTGTATACTGTATATATGGATATTACAGATATATCGTCCCTGATTTTGATCTCTAACTACTGCTTGGAAAAGGTCTGTTTCCTGTCCTTGCAGAATTACGCATGTCAGCTAGTTTCCACGCTGGAGTGACAGTTTCTTAAACCACAGATGCTGCTGTTGGATCTGTATTGCATATCAGAGAGAGCTTAAGGTGAACACACTAAACAAGAGTTGGTGTCACAGACAGAGAAGACAGTCCACAGGTCCTGACCCAGGTACAGGAAGTGTTAAGTTACAGCCAGCATAGGGAATTCAAGGGCCAAATTCCTATAGGTTTTTGGAGGGTCTTTTTTAATAGGAAACAGATGGGAGACATGAAACAAAAACAGATCAAATGAAAAACAACTTCCACTCCAAATAATTACGCCTATTAAGAAACTGGAGATCAGAGGAGGAACGACATGCAGAGGACTCTGAGGCCAGGCCTCGAACAGCCCCATTGCACGTGCCGTCCTGCCAGGGGGCGCTCTCACCTGAGCCGGTGCAGCGGGGATTCTTGGGGGCTTCGTCGGACTGGTCGTGACAGTCGAACTCGCCGTCACACTCCCAGTGTCTGTTGATGAGACAGCGCCCGTTGGCGCAGCGGAACTCGTTGGGCCCGCAGGTCGGGTACTCTGAGGAGGAGGAACCCGCACGCGCCGCATAAGGACGAGGAAATGTGGTCGGTAACGCGAGGAAGAGTGCCCGCAATCGGGCTTTTCTCAAAGCAAACAGAACCCCGAAGCCCAACCCTCCAATTCCGATCAACAGCTTTAAAGTGATTTACTTTGCATGATGCTAACCTTTGGCTCAATGATACAAGACAACCTAAGGTTCTTTAAAACTGTTTTAAGAACGCAATAAATAATCAACACTGACTTGAAGAGCTCAGCCAGGGAGCGCAGGCTGTTACAGTGTAGGGAGGCCTCTTCAGAGAACACAGATACACAAGTGTCTCCCCCTGTCTGTGGTTCATGTAAAAGCTAGAAAACAGCTTTAATGCTTTATAAAAATCTCTCTCAGTTCCGATAAACATCAGTTTTTTGTATTTCAGGACCAGTATATATTCAGGATTAACCTTAATGTTTTACATTCAGATGACCATATATGGATGTCGGTATGCTATTGAAAGCTGAAATATCACACATATACTGTAAATTCCTCATACAAGTTATATAGGGCTTTTCTGGACTCTCCTCTCAAAGCCCTTTACAGGTAATGGGGAATCCCACAACCATCACCAATGTACAGGTGAAGCGCCTATAGGCTCACCACACACCAGCTCTCAGTGGAGAGAAGAACAGAGTGATGAAGCCAGTTCATAGATGGGGATTATTAGGAGGCCATGACTGGTAAAGGCCAGGGGGAACTTTGGCCAGGGCACCGGGGCAACAACCCTAACCTTTTCGAGAAACATCCTGGGATTTATCATGATCACAGCGAGTCGGGACCTATATACGTTCTGTAACTTTTCCACACAACATTTTTGGGCTTAAGGGCAACAAAAGGTGAACATTTTGAAAGGGGGTGGTGACTTTCTATCCCCTTACTGTACGTTCTGTAACCAGTAACTATTCCACACAACAGGTGCCCGCTTGCCTGCTTCTGGACGCATGGAATTCAACCAGAACACACCCCCTACACAAACACACAAATCGATATCCTGCACCGATATGGGGAGACGCCCCATGACCGGCAGTGGCTCGGGGAGACGGGCCAGGACTCACCACACTCCGGGGACTCGTCTGAGCCATCGCTGCAGTCCCTGTCGTGGTCGCAGACGAAGTGCTTGGGGATGCACTGCTGGTTCTGACACATGAACTCCAGCTCGCTGCACGTGTTGTTGAACACTGAGGAGAGGCGACATGGATTAACTCACAGAGGGGAATCCTGGCCCGCTCTCAGACAGAGCCCCAAGGACGGCGTTAAGAGCACTGACCGGGAAGCTGATTCCCGCAGCAGGGCAGCGGTGCACTGTCCGAGCCCACCACTCAGTGCCCCCTGCAGCCTCGCCTGGGCCAGCGTGCATGAGCTTCTTCATTTTCAACACAGCGCCGAAACACTGCAGCGAAACCCTTCCCTGCAACCCGCAGGGTTTAGGCTAACTTGCCTGTTTCGACCTATTTGGCCACACTTGCACTTGGCAATTTAAAACTTCCTTCACGCTTTAAAAGCCATTACACAGCTTCTGCGCAGTCCTGTAAAACTGATTTTTTTTCTGGACACGCAAGGATTCAGTAACTAACCCCCAAAAAGGCCAAAAAGATGGACCTACCCCAGCGTGACTGAATTAAACACACATAAATTAAACAGCTAATTAACAGAGTCACACTTGAAATGCAGAGGCCCCCAGAACCTCTTGGCAAACGTGCGGTGAGCCGGCTGGTTTGAAACAAACTTCACAAGTGGAGGGCTGTTGTGACTGAGATCTATATAATGGAAAAAATAACTTTTTCTCTCAGATTGCAGGCAGAGAGGTTTAGCAAATACTGGGAAACATGGATTAAATTGATCTCTCTACAGGGACCTGATTTTAGTTTATAAGAAAATATGCAGTGATAGCTTTGTGTGGACTTTTTTGTTTGTTTGTTGTGTTTCTTATCAAACAATTGTATATTTTTTTTGTATGGCCCTGCTGGCATAATGTAAATAGTTCATTTTATATGTACAATGTGACAAAAATGTAAGATGAAGGCAAATGTTTATTCTGCTGTTTGGTTATGTTCCTTTCATCACTAAATAAAAAGTTGGAAAGAAAAGTGGAGGGCTTTGCTGGGGTACTCTGTGCACTGCTGAAACATAAGTGCAGAGAGGACTGGTTATAGATATATCAGTGACTACTTTGAAAATGGGTTCTCCACAAACGACAGATTTTTTCTTTGTTGCACCTGCCCGTTGGCCACAAAACGTGTCCGAGCAGACGTGCGCAGACGTGCGCAGACGTGCGCAGACGTGCGCAGACGTGCGCAGACATGCTGCTGTCGGGAGAGGGTTCCTCGGACAGCACGGGGAGCCCACACTCACCGCAGCCCGCCTTGGTGCTCTCGTCCGCCCCGTCGGGACAGTCCCGGTCTCCGTCGCACTTCCAGCGCTGCGGGACGCAGATGTGGGATCCGGGACACTGGAAGGCCTCCGGGCTGCAAGTCTTCGTCTCTGGGGAGGCGAGAGTGTGGAGGGCCTCATGAGCAGGACGAAGGGCGAAACGGCAGAGCTGGCCCACTCTCTCCAGCTCTCTGTCTGTCTACAGTATTCTCAAGCTCGGCCTCAAGCATCCCCTGCACTAGCAATTAGTAGTTCCAGTTGGCACTAACAATTACCGACACTCACTGATCCATTTAATTGAACTAATTACTTCTTGACACCTTTTTTCAAGCAGCTTTTAGCAGTTGGGAAAATTAAATGGATTTTTGGAATGAACATCAACCCTGGACTCCATTAATTACCTGTTAATGGATAATTAACCTGTTAATGGTTAATCAGACATAAAGGGAGAGAGCAACCACTCAATACGTGAATCAGAATGAAGGGCTCCTGTTTTGTTATACTTTACATCTAGGGAAGAATACAGAAGAACATGACCCCCCCCCCACACCTGCAGTGGGGCCATTCTGAGTGCAGACGATTCAATTAAAAGGGTCAATTAGCTGTGGGAGGTTGAGAACTCAGCTGGTACGACAAGCAGAAGAGTCTCTCCAGACCCAGGATTGAGAGCCCCCTGATTGACTATTAACGCCAACACACAGGGCACAACCTCACTGCCCACGAGCAGACCAGGTCTGTGCCTGCTGCTCACCTGTCTCAGAGAGCCCATGCCTCTGGGGGAAGGCTCAACCAAGCAGTCAAAATGCCAGGGTGCCAAGGAATGACAAACCAAAGAAACCCAACTGTGCAGTGCCACTGACCAGCAGTGCCAAACTCGGCATGCAACCAAGCCTTTCCATTTCCGAGTATGATCAAACTGGACTCTGAGAAGCTGTGGCCTGTATCTTCTACACCAGACATGGAACTTGACAAATTTCCAGATGTTTGGATGTAGAGTGCATGCATGCACTTGTTTTTCCAGCTACATCCGCACATAGAGTATACTTAGTCCTATATACTGTGATGCATTAAATATGAATAAACCTGAGTGTTTTTACATGAATAAAGTATACTAAGAACCTGGCTTTGATAAGGCCCTGCGTGACTATTGCGCCTGCAGCCTGGCACGCAGCTGCTCAATGTGACCACAGGGGGGAGCCAGCGAGCACACGCAGGCGCGCCCCCTCTGAAGCAGCCCGCCCGCTCTCCCACTTACTGCACCGGCTGTCCTCGTCCGAGCCGTCGCCGCAGTCGTCCGCCCCGTCGCACACCCAGCGGCTGGAGATGCAGCGGTGGTTGCCGCACTCGAACTGGGTGGAGGAGCAGAACTTATCTGGGAGGAGAGACGAGGGGGGAAAGGCCCGTCAAGAGCAGCCCGCACCGAACCGAACCGGCGACATGCGACAGATCAAAGTCACTGCAGCCTGCGTACTGAGCGCAGTCTGATCCCTGGCTAGGAGTGTTTGCTAGGCTGCAGTGTAAAACACCCGTGGACATTATGGACCTCTTGAGTGCCCCCATTTGGCAGGTCTTGGAAATGCAGCAGGAGAGCTGCACAGCTGGCGTTCTGTACCGCGCTCTGTCTTGTGAAACAAGCATCTGATCAGGTTGATCAGCAAGGGAGTCCACAAAGGTCAGAGAAGCAGTTTGGCTTAACAGTGTGACCACTAAGAGTCTGAGATCGGCTTAAGGTCTCTCAATAGGACATAGCAGCCAGAATGAAAACAGCAATGCTGATCGGCCTCTGCTTGTTACTTTGGGACAGCTGGAGTTAGGGTTCTGGACTGCTGAGTAGAGTCAGAGTTCACATCCCAGGCAGGAACAAGGGCCCTGCAATCTAGACAGCAAGCCCATCCATATAAACAAGTACCAAATGAGTCTATCAATACAACAGGTAACCGTAAATTGTTTTAGGGTGACCCTATAGGATATGATATACCCTAATCCTAACCCTCTGCTCACTGACATTCATCTCTCTAAATAGCTGACATCTGCTCGATTACTGTTACTCCAATCCTCCCCTTAAGAGACAAATATTCTCTCTCATCTTTTTCTTTTTGATCCACTGACCCTAAAACTGGGTTCAGAAGGAAAGTGTCCTCACTTTATTGAGATCTTGGTCAGTTTAGGACAGGCAGTGTAGTGAAAGTTGTATATGAAAGCCCAAACACTATCTGAAAGATCTTGAACGGGTGATCGGGTCTCCTGTGTGCACACGTAGTGGATCTGCTTAGAACTACCTGAGAGGACTTTGAAAAGAATCCTGGTGCTGGCCAGACAGGAGCCATAGCGTTAGCCCACATTATGATAAAACATGAATGGCGGCAGACTTGAATGGCCAGTGACCCCTGATGGGTTATCCCCTGCGCTTTCAGACAAGCCTGCGAGAACACCCTGCGGAGATCCCAGAGGGGCCCGCTGCCCTACTGACCACAGTGCATCTCGTCGGCCCCGTTCTCGCAGTCGTTCTCCTTGTCGCAGGTCCAGCTCATGGGGATGCAGCGGCCGCTCGGACAGGCGAAGAAGTTCGTTGGGCACTTCAGCTTCTGCTTGTCTGCTCCAGAGGCCACAAGACACACACGCACACACACAAAAAAAGACGTCAACACAAACAACGCCAAGAGGGTGTCAGCACAACACCCGTTGGATAGAGAAAGGGGAAGCAGAGTGTTGCCTTCTGGGAAGGCAGCACAGCATCATGGGACAGACTGGGCTGGAGAAGACACGACAGCAAGCGCAGGCCTGTCCTTAGAGAGGATACACGCATTGGAGTTCCATAGTGACTGAGTGTCCCGGGACGCCCCAGACCAGGCCGCAGGCCAGGCGGGAGAGCTGTACCTGGGCAGTTCCTCTCGTCAGAGTAGTCCCCGCAGTCGTTGGAGCCATCGCACACCCAGGAGGGTGCGTAGCACAGGGTGGTCATCTCACACTTCTGGAAGGTCACGCCCTTCACCCCCAGGCGGAAGTAGCTGGAGCAGTCCGTCGAGGCTTTGCGTGAGGGACAGCAAAGAATAATCGAAATCAGAACTCTTCTCGCGGTTAAAAGGTCTACAACGTGCAGCTTTAATCGAGGAATAGTGTGCATGAAGCACAATACCAACACAAAGTACAAATAACGACATCTCACCAACATACCCTGTGTGTTATGTAGGGCCTGACACAGATGCTCACAGAGAAGCTGGGCTGTTTTTTCTTACCACTGGCATGCAAAATGGAAAAGCAGGACTGAGTGGCTGTACTAGGCAGTGACTCCTTTGACATTTCTGTTCTTTTCTAATGCAGGTACGCACAGACCTACGTCAGCCCAAGGCACCGCGACAGTCTGGTTCCACTCCGCCTCGTGAGCCCATCTCCTGAAAGTGTTACCTTTTACTCACTGCTGAAGAAGTGTGTCAGTGTGCTGTAAACTGCTCTGCAAGAGCACAGCTGTATTATGGAAGTACTGTACATTATACCTGTGTGAATTTGTATGGTTACAGTACTGTAATAATAATGATAATGTTAATGGCTCTAAGTATGCACCTACTGTAGAAGAATGTACTCTGGCTTGCATACATTCCAGATTTATGTAAGGCCATGCAGAAAGTAGCTCTTTTGCAAAGCTGGGGGTTGCCTGTAAAGATATTGAAAACATCTCCCCCCCCCCCCCCATGGAGACTTACTGCAGTTCATCTCGTCGCTGGCGTCCTCGCAGTCAATCACCTGGTTACAGCGGCCGGAGCTGGAGATACAGCTCCCGTCTCGGCACTGGAACTCCTCCATGGTACACAGAGTCACTGCGGGGAGTCAAACAGACGCATTGCAGAGAGGCATCGGGGACCAGAGCAAGTCACGAACACAGCCCCGTGCAGGGCTCACTCCAGAGAGGCTGAGGCTAGGCTCTCTCAGACACAAGTCCCTCCCTGTGGCACGGCGGTGCAGCGGTGATTGCACTGCTTGCTAGGATAGGCTTCGGCTCTCCCCCGTGACACTGCACAGGAGAAGTGATTATAAAATGGATGGACGGAAGCTGATGGATGGAAGCTTAAATCAGGGGTTCTCACACCTGGACACGGTGATGGGGAGCATACGGGAATGCCGATACACCCCAGAAAAGGGGTTATGGCAGCCTCTGTTACCCAGTCTGCAGCACTGCCGCCGCCCAGGATTGGTAGACAGTGACATCAAGGCACTACGACACGTGTCTCAGGAGCCGGGGGTGAAACCGGGGGTGAGCGCTGTACTCACTGTTGCAGGGCAGCTCGTCCGAGTTATCCCCGCAGTTGTCCACGCTGTTGCACCAGTAGCGGTGGGCTACGCAGCGACCGTTCACGCAGCGTCTGTAACCCTTCTTGCACATGCGGCTGGCTGCAGAGAAAAGGACAGCGTTGTGGTGACACTCTTCCCGCCTGCTGTGGGCAACACAAACCCCTAATGTCTGCCAGAAGCCAAAGACCACGTTCTAATGCCTGATCTGCATCTGGACAAGATGTTCAAAAGGAACAAGCAGAGGCTATCGTCATGCTGCAAGTACAAAATAAGAAAGGTTTCGCATCAGCCTTCTTCATGGGGATTTTCAGCATGGACTTAACCTTTAAATCTTCTTTCACAGCTCCCCTCTCTAATCTCTTCCAAGTTTTTATTACAGTAAAGTATTGGTAGAAGTAACAATCCAGTTAATAGGAAAACTGTCTCTGTGTCTCGGATTAATGATCCACTAAATTAGGGATGGGAAGAACTGTAATCTGCAGTAGTACATTAAATCCTTCAAATTGAAGGTGAGAGTGATCCTTCCGATTCTAAGGGAGCTCAGATCTGGAGCGATCCGACTACCGCTGTTGCGCCTGGATGCTGGCTGTGGCTGGGAACAAATATTCCTGCAGCGGGGAGAGAACCAGGATGCCCAGCTCTCTCGTGGATGGGCAGACTCACCGCAGTAGGACTGCTTCTCGTCAGACTTGTCCTTGCAGTGAGCGACTCCATCGCAGGTCAGGTTGTAGCTGATGCAGTCGCCGTTCCCACACTCGAACTGCTCCACCACACTGCAGGTCGAGTTCACAGCTGGGGGATGGAAAAGCGGCGCCATTTATCAAACAAAGAAAAAAAATCAGAGACCGCCGGGACATGCTTCTTCGCTTCAGGACCAGCAAACAGCTGGTTTATCCCAAAGTGACACCAAAAGGTTTGTGCAAAAGGATAAAAGACAGAGTTAAAATGTACAGATCTTGTGTGTGGCAAGCCACCTGTGCTGTGTCGTGGTATTATTCAGCATGCCGGATTCAGCTTTTCACTGCCCAAGAAGATCGACAGGTGGCACTTGTGTGCGTTAGATGTAAGTGAAATGGTTGCTTCATTTAATCTATTGTATTACTTCTTTAAATCTACTTAATGTGAATTTTGGCAGCTGAAAATAAAAATAAATAGTAATAAAATAATATTTCTGAACATTATTAACAATGTTAATTTAACAATATTAATATATTTATATAGCTTTCAGTGGAAGCTGAAAACAAAAAAGGTACACCATAGTAATCCACCTTGGTCATAAACATTTTATGTATCAAATTCCTTAACTCAGTCAACTTGCTGTGGCTCTGGCTATTTTGGGAAATATAATAACATGCTCATTTTCACTACATTTCCCATTAATACTTGCTCCTGTTATTGTTGTAATGGAAAAATAAATGCTTGTAGTTTTTAATTTAGCTTGTCTAATCAGAGTGACACATGGGAGGTTCAGAGGTAGAATTCTCGGATTCGAGTCCCACCTAAAGCATAAGTTGTACTTTTTACAAATTGCCCTTTTTGGGCATCATTTTCTCAAAATAAAATAAAATGTGTACTATATTGACATGCATCAATAGGCTCCCTTTACAACAAAAACATGTGATGGTGTTTTTTCAGCCAGACAAAGGTACCCCTAACTGTCTATGCAGGGCAGGGGGTGTAATGGCATGAGCTCTGATGCACGCACAACTCACAACAGTTAACAACGCTGTCCTGATGCCGACAGCGGGAGTTAACGGAAGGACTTCTTGTGTGCTCAGAACCTCCGCGCCTTTTCAAACACACCAGCCGACAGACCTCTGCAAAACCCGCTGTCATTTGTGTCAGTGTGGAATTAAATGTATTTCCCACTACCGGGACAGAGTTCCCTGGGAGAGGTATGGGGGGAGGATGATTAGAGTGATCCTGGCTGAGGAAACTGATACTTAAGCACTCAGGAGCTGCTGCCAGACTTTGCTGATCGATCAGCACTCTGTATGTGGGGGAAGAACAGACTCTGCCTCACCTGCAGAAAGACTTTGCATGCCAGGTTACTGGCCGGTGCTCATCAAAAGGCAAAAGTCACACAGTAATTTTCACCAGACTGGAACAAACCCCTCCTAGGCAATCAGTTTTAACTCCTCCGAGTAAAACCAAGGTTTTTCAGGTTTTGAACACCGTTCAATCAGTTTTAATTAATTTTGTATTAACCTATTCATGAAAGGGCCAATCACAATCCTGCCAGCCAACATCGTTGACCAAGAACGCCCACCCCCCCGCTGTGCATCGTGCATGCCAGTCACTCACAGCTGCAGGTGGTGTCGTCCATCAGCTTGCGGTCCCCGCGGCATGTGCAGTTGACCCTCCCTTCCGCGGTCAGCAGGCACAGGTCCTGGCAGCCCCCGTTGTTCACACGGCACGGAGAGAACTCGCCTGCGGGGCCGGGGGAGAGATCACAGAAAGGGTCGGCTCAGACGCCACAAGACCGCAACGCCAGGCACGCCTCGGGCGCCAGCTGCAGGGCTCTGGCACACAAGCCTGCCCGTCACGTGCTGGACAACGCACTTATGCCTCCTCCCATCAGGGAGGGCTGTGTGGACAGAGAGGAGGAGGAAATGGGGATAAACACACATTTGCCTCATCTGCTTCATCTGCATGATCGACGGCTGGGGTTATGCTTAAACTAGGAAGGCAAAGTGGCCTGTGAAGATCATGCCCCTGCGTCACTGCAATCTGATGTATCACAGCATGGGGCAGAGAGGTGTGAACCTGCATTTCCTAATGGCATGTCTTATTCTGCCATGTGCTAGAACATGTGGGAGGGTTGTAGGCCCTCCCGTCCCACAGGAAAGCACCCTGCTTCCCTGGAAAGATGAATCAGTATCCATAGTAGTGAACTATTATTTCAGGCTCTTCCCTAGAAAAGCTTTAGGACCCATGAAACACAGCCCACAGCCTCCTGACGTGTCTCAACTCATACACCCTAAAAAGAGGGGGGAAAGGATTATATCACACTTGGCTGCAGTCTATAGATAAAATTGTTCTTAATGGAGTTTGGCTTACTTACACTTTGCTATGGCAAAACTAAATTCGACAGCATGGAGAGACAATTTCTCATATCTTTGAAATGTGTTTAACTCTTTCCCCCACCTTTCCACTTTTAAGGGGCTTTCTGAGTTTTTCTTTTGGTCTGCTGGTCATATTTGTGATCAGGAGGCCAGCAGACGAGGGCGTTAGCAGAGTGTTCGTGGCCCTCTCTCTCTACACCTCCAACAGAAATTCTGGAATGCAGGACTCTGGGTTTTACAAGTTGGCCATAGAAAGAAACAAGTAAAAGGAAAATGCTCAGTGGGGGCTCGGCAAATTGCAAGCAGGCCTGTTCCTTGAATTGGAGCAGATCCCCTGTGATGTGCAGCCTTTCGACAGACGCTAACACAGCCCTCTCCACGGCACTAATGCAATGCGATGGATCTAAATGGGATTCGCTACGGCTGCTGAAATCTTCATATGAAAAGCAGCCGGACACTGACAGCACTTCTGTGTGAAACACAGGGGGAGAAGGACGTGGAGAGAGGAGGGGTGCAGGCAGAACAGAGTCAAGGGTAGAAATTCAATTTCACAAGGCAAAGTCAGGAGGCCCCAGGTGTCTGGGCACCTTCGTTCCTCAGGGAGATTGGTTTTGTCACCTAATTACATCAGCTGCTGCAGAACAGCCATGCACAATGAGCCTGAGGAAAGCTCTCAAATCTCTCTCGCACTCGCTCACCCCTGGGGAAGACAGGAGGGAGAGGGTGGAATACCGCAGCCCTGCTAACCCCTTTCCCTCACACAGAGCAGAACTTCACTGACATCTGCAGAACCACAGAGCAGAACCTCACTGACCTCCACAAAAATTGTACAGCAAATTACAGAAAGCTGAAATTAGACCCCTCGATTTGAGCGCCATGGTCCCTCTTGATGACCACGATACAAGAAGGATAAGGCTCCCTGGAGGCAGTGTAAAGGAGAACAGCCAGACTAACACCTGCACCCAGAGGAATGTTGCACTCATGTAGAGGAAGGGGACGGAATATTTTTTTCCTAGAGCACAACAGATTGGGAACTTAATATGTAGGAGGGTATTGACCATCCCAAATGGCGGAGAAGAAGGGAGGAGTCACTTCTTCAGAAAAAGGCATGGGGGGGTCTGGAGCTCCCTGGGGCGCTGAAGGAGACGGGGGTGCCGGCCTGGTGAGAGAACGGGCCGGGTCCTGCCCTGCCAGGAGACTCACAGCTGTTGGTGTCGTTGGCCACGGCGATGATGCCCATGGGCTGCTGGGGAATGTCCGCGCGCAGGACCTTCATGTCTCCGCCCACGTACTTGTCGGCGCGCAGCACGGCCCGCCGCACCCAGTCCGTCCAGAAGATGTAGTCTCCGTACACCGCCAGGCCGAAGGGGTGCACAGGCTCATTCTTCAGAATCACCTGCAGGGGGCAGGAGAGAGACAGGCAGTCAGGCACCCACACATGCTTTCTCTCTCGAAGGCGCAGCATGTCTACTTGACAACAGATGTATGGAATCAGCAGATTTAATGATGTGACGGCGGAATCAGAGCTGATGCGCGTGTTTTTTTGATTGAATGTTTCTGGATCCTTACAGTTATATAGCACTTTTCCGGACACTGCATTCAAAGTGCTTTACAGGTGATGGGGAATCCCACGACCACCACCAATGTGCAGCCCCACCTGGATGATGCGCATGTACACTCACTGAACATCAGCTACCAGTGGGAAGGAGAACAGAGTGATGAAGCCAATTCGTTGACAGGGACTATTAGGAGGCCATGACTGGTTAAGGCCAGAGAGAAATTTGGCCAGGACACCTGGGTAATAACTCCTGCTCTTTTCAAAAAATGCCCTGGGATTTTCAATGACCATGGAGAGTCAGGACCTCGGTATTACATCTCATCCGGAGGAACGGTGCCTTTTTTATTTTTTTGTCCACTAGCAAGAAAAGGTTTCCAGGTTTCAGGGCTTTTTTTCGATTTGAATTTGCACAACAAAGAAGCAGAAAGGCACAGTGTGCCCACTCGGGTTGGAGAAACAGGCGAGTGGGAAGCGCTATGGGAGACGAGCGGGCGGTCAGGAGGCACGGGCACGCCCACGCGGGCGAGGACTCACGTGGCGCCGGGAGCCGTCGTACTCGCAGCGCTCTATCTTGTCCAGCGTGGCGTCGGAGAAGTAGAGCTTCTCGGCCCGGTGGTCGATGGCCAGGCCGTTGGGCGTGCGGATGTCGCTGCCGATGATCACCACCACGTTGCCCCCGGACAGGGTGGCGCGCATGATGCTGGGCCTCTGCTCGTTCCAGTTGGTCCAGAACATCAGACTGGGGAGAGAAGCGCGGCCCCATGACATAAGTGCTCCAGCAGAAGACTACAGTGAAGACGGGAAGAGAAACTGTTCTCTGTTCTCGATCTCGGATCCTGGATAAAACCCCCAAATTAGCAGGGAAGCAAAGAACCGTAAATTTCTATAGAACTGGAATAACTGACAGGGCGGCACGATGGCGCAGTGCTTAGCATTGCTGCCTCACAGCGCTGGGACCTTGGGTTCAATTCGGGACCTGGGGTACTCTGTGTGGAGCTTGCACGTTCTCCCTCTGTTCGCATGGTTTCCTTCGGGTGCTCCAGTGTCACCCCACAGTTCAAATACATGCTGGTGGGTTAACTGGCTTCTGAGAACATTAGCCCTTGTGTGAGTGTGTGAGTGTGTGTGTGTGTGTACAGTATGTGCCCAGATGGACTGGGGTCCTGTACAGGGTGTACTGAACTGGGATCAATCAAGCTGTTGATTTATTAAATTAAGCAATTTACAGAATGCTTGGAACAAAAGTGTCCAGCAACTCTCAAGGCTTGACTGAACACACTACTTACTTCATTGATTAATAACTTTTTTAATTGATTAATAACGTTTCTACCCCAGAAACAAAATGATTTTAAGGTAATCCGTACAACCTCCTGGACTGGTGCCAGGGCTAAGGTAGGAGACCTCTGCTTTAAACTGTCCAAAAGAGCATAACTAGAATATTAAAACAGACCCATGTAACACTTCGCTGATTCGCTGAGTTAGTGATAACTACTATTATCTACTATCTACAGTAGCACAGGAAACAAGGAAAAAACATCATCTGATGTTTAACGAGGTTGTACTTTGAGGAAAGTAAAGAGCAAAGCAGACAAGTCTCCCTGGTTTAAACACGAGGTGCAAGTGGATTTTGGGGGTCTTACTCCTGGCACTCGTCCAGCACGAAGGCGCGCGGGTGGTCGTCCCCGGACATGGTGACCACGGTGTCGCGGTCGTAGGCACCGGCGCGGGTCTGGTCCACGGTGTGCCGGGCGATGGTGGAGGTGGAGTAGCTGGTCCAGTACAGCGTGTCCCAGGCCCGGTGGTACGCCAGGCCCTCCACTGAGCCCACGTCTGGAGGGACAGAGACAGGCAGGGTCAGCGCTCGCACTGACCGCTGGCCAGAGGAGGGCGCGGAGCAGCGGCCAGGCCTCTGGACTCAGAACCGGGAGGTCTGGAGAGTCCAGACCAAGGCAGGAAGCGCTGACGTTTACCACTGAGCAAGACTCTTCACCCAAACCCATCCAGGATAATGCTTATACAGAGCTGAAGTAAGACAGTGGATTAAAATGTCTAAACTATTAACTAAGACTAAAAACAGTACTAATAAAGAAGAGAATACAGAACAAAGGTACATTGTGAAGATTATATAAAACCCTGTTACTGTATCTTACTGTGTGACCTCACCAGTGTTGTTAAAGCTTCCCTTACTTTGACTGCAATGATAAAGAAAATAAAATCATGAGGATCACGTAAGAAACATATTTAAATACAGGAAACCCTGTACTGGAGGTCAGAATCTGACAAATAGTGTCTCACTATGTATAGGAATGCTGGGCCTAACACTGTACTGAATTATTGTCCAATTATTGCACATCCGTGTGGATTTCAAAAGCATAAACTACTTTTATTTTTTTAAAAGGTTTCTGTAGTTTCTAGACTCAGTTCTCTTACGGTCACAGAGGCAGAGGACACTGGGTTCAGCTGCTATTTTAGATCAGACCCTGAGATTCTCGAAGGACAGACCGGGGGAAAAGAGCAGTTCTTTCCCACTGCGGGGCCTGGAGGGGTCAGCCCTGCCGCACCAGTGGAGAAACCAGCCTGTTCTCAACTGCCGGCACACGGAACGCGCTGGGAAGGGCCTGCCGTATGGAGCCTGCATGCTCCCGGGGCTTCCTGGGAGACCTCTCGGACAGTAAGGTGTTCCTACACAGTTCCACGCTGAGGCACCGGTTCAGACCGCAGCTCGTGAAATCCCCTGGCCATTCCACCACAAAAGTACAAGTACAGAGTATTTGTGAAACATGACTGCCAAGAAATGTGAGGCGTGGGGTGAGGGAGTCAGTGTTGCAAAGTGTAGTTATAAAGGAACAAGTAGAGGTTTATTCCTTCTGTGGAGCCTGGTGGTGAAACCTTTGCATCTCTTTTCCTTTCAGCATGGAACAAACCTTTACCAGTTCCTTTGCAGCCTACGCCTGCTGACATAGCTACAGCACCTACTTAAAACTTCTTCAAGTGTAGTTATAGGTTTAGTACAGGGACCAGCAAGACTAGTCCTGGGTAGCTGCAAAGCAACAGGTATTACAGCTACCCCTAAATCAAAATCACCAATTTCTAAAGACAAATTCAACTCTGGTCAATGACGTAGGTGAGGTTTCCATTTAGAGACCCAGTAACAAGAGTAACTGGACCTTGGATTTATGTCATCACCAATTTTCGGATTAGAATCTTTCCTGATCCGGAAGCTATCCCAGACGCATCGCTGAGAGTTCCCTACGTAACACTCCAAAACAAAGGAGCCCTCACAACGGCTGGCAGTCATCCCCAAGACACCTGATAACCCACAGCTCAAGGCCCAGCACATACTGTGCAAACAAGCGCACAGGAGAGAGAGGCACTTCAAGGCTTTCCATCCTCTCTCTTCATCTGCAATCACCATAATGAACATTTTATTTTTATGGCTGCAATACAAGCACTGGACACTTTAAAGATTAGAGCCTGCTCTTTGGCAAGAGGCAATAAAGCTGTGTTTTTTTCTCTCAAGAGTTCAGTGCAGAGGTGGGTGCGGAACTGAGGAGTCACGTCACAAACCTGCTGCATTGAAGACGCAGCGTGAAAACTTGCCACCCAGCACATGGAGTAAGTTCAGGGATAATCTGATTCACTGGACAAAGTCCCCTTTTCACCAGCAAACACACTGTAAGTCTACAAACAGAACGGACAAGGTTTTCCAGAGCAGTTCTGTTGCTTTAAGGAGAAAAACAGCCAAATTAATCAGTTAGAACCCTGGCGGCCCGTGCAAGACTAGGGGAGGTCTTGTTTGCGTACGAAGATAAACGCGAAAAGGAACACCAGAGAATGATGACTGAAGACGAAAAGGTCTCGCTGCGGACTTAGAGTCGCCCGCACTGCCGCAGACACAGGAGTCAGCGCCCGGCAGCCGCTGACTCGCAGGGGACACGAGGCGCCTTGCGGGCGGTCTCCAGCCTGGCCCTGAATTTGAGAAGAGATCGAGGTTCAGGCACACGGCGTTGAGCTTGGGTTCTGTAGCTCACTTGGCCGCTCATCATCACCGCCCAAGGTCACGGCAGCCAGACTGACCCACAGCTGATCCCAGAAACGCTCAAGTGTGAACGTCAGGCACTCCAATGAAATATTAAAGAGCGAATCGACCGGTGTTAACGTGGGAATCACTGCGTGATCAGGCCCAGGGAGTGATTTGTACAGTGTTGCTTAGTTGCAGAAATCAATACTTCTTCAGTGCCAGGAGGAGGTAAGCCTTTTTTTCATTCTCTCAATTAGAACAAATTAGAATTAGAACGTGAATTTCGGACACTGTTTTTTCATGAAATGTATTGGTGTTTAAGAAATTTTAAAATTACGCAAAAAGGGGAAGGTTTTGGTGCTGAATAGCGATAATTAGGTTTACAAAGTGAGTTATGTAACAAGTATTGCTTGTTATGAGAACAGACTTCCTTCTGGTCAACTTATTACTGCTTCGTTAATTTGTTAGTTAGTACAGCGTACAGACCTTGCAGAGATCACTTACTTTGTAACAACAGCGATTTAGAGAGAGCCGAGAGATGACGGCAATCTACAGGTAAGTCCAAACAATCAGAACAGTGGACGTTTTCCAGGCTGTACGGCTTTTTACTAAATTCAGAGATGAAACTGGCAAATTATTCCTTATTAATGACCACTGGGATTTTTCTGCACAATGACTGAAAGCACTGACGGTGAATACAGCAACCAATACATTTTAAGCAGGGTTTTTTGTAACCCCTGTTCAGATTGTGCAGGGCTGTGCAGGGTCAGAACTGGCAGGGAGTCCCCATGGAAGAAGGGTTTCTGTATCTCGAAGGCTCCCCTCCGGAGAACGGCTCAGCCGGCCCAGAGGGCACGTCTGGGCTGTCAGACGTGCAGCGGATCGTGGTGCCCCTGCTGGACGCCCTCATCCTGGCGACGGGGGCGGTGGGCCACAGCCTGGTGGTGCTGATCCTCTTGAGGAGGAGGAGGAGCCAGCGGCGGCACGGCACCAACACCCTGCTGCTAGCGTTGAGCTTGGCTGACCTTCTCCAGCTGGCCTGCCTGCCCTTCAACACGGCGGCCATCGCCCTGGGCCGCTGGCCCTTCGGAGACGTGCCCTGCAGGCTGGTCAGCTTCCTGGGTGTGGCCTGCTCGTGCGCCAGCGTCTTCACCCTGGCCGCCCTGGCCGTCTCCCGCTACCTCACGGTGGTCCACCCAGCCTGGGCCTACCGCTCCCGCTGCGCCCACAGCCTCCGGGCGGCGGCGGCGGCCCTCTGGGTGCCCGCCATGGCCCTGGCGGCGCCCCAGTTTGCGCTCCGCCGGGTGCGCACCACCGGCCAGGTCTACTGCTTCACCTTCCTGTCGGACCTCGGCCAGCTGGTCTACAGCGCCGCGCTCTTCCTCTTCGGCTTCGCCCTGCCGCTCGCCATCATCGTCCTCATGTACGCCAAGATCTACGGCTTCCTGCGTCGCGCCCGCCGCCAGGGCCGCGCCCCCCAGGTGGAGCGCTACCAGGCCCAGGTGACCCGCACCTCGGCGTTGCTGGTCGTGGTCTTCACTCTGTGCTGGCTGCCCTCCTACATCCTCATGTTCTCGCTGGTGGGCCGCACCGTCTCCGAACTCCGGTACGGCGCCTTCCCCATCTCGGCCAGGCTCCTGGCCTCCTCCTCCACCGTAGCAAACCCCATCCTGTACGTCTTCATCTCGCAGAAGTTCAGGCAGGACCTCTGGGCTCTGAGCGGCAGAGGCAGGTGCTGCCGCTGTCCAAAGAGCGGCAGAGACACCGTCAAGCCCTTTAACTCAGTCGAACTGGGACCTCCTGCACGGGGCTCCTGAGAGGACGTTACAGAGCTCATTCCAGACCCAGGGGCAGGGATGGGATTGTGAAACGTGTCTTCCTCTAACTCTGCATGTGCCTGGAACTCTCCAGTACACCTGTACTTGAAGGGATACTAATTCCAAGAAAGAAGAGACCTACAGAACGCAGAAGGCCGCTGTACTGCCTTTGCAGCCGAGCCTCGCACTCCAGTCATGGCATCCTGGGTGCACACTGACAAAGTTGCAGACGTACAGGGCTAACCAAGACTGACTGCAGGCTCAGAGCAAGCCAGACAACAGTACAGGGCCGAAACGCACCATTTACAGTAACACCTGGGGGGCTATCGGCTTCAACAAAATATATTTCAGCACCAGACAGAACACATCTCTCCAGACAGGGCAGTTGAGCAAATATGGAGACAACACTCGGGCAAAATGGACTAAAGATCTGAACCTGCCCGTCTGAGCAAAAGATCCAAGATAGGTTACTGCCTTTGAATAGTTTTAAGTTTCAGCATTGATGACTGACAATCATGGCTGCTGTACCCACATATGTATCCATATTAAGGTCACAAGAAAGGTTTCCAGCCATTCCCGATGCCTTCTGATTTGCAAAACTGTGAAAAGTTTTCAGTTGCACCTGTCTCAAAGAATCTGCACTGCTGGAGGGGACAACTGGAGGTAAAGAGCAGAAATTAATCACTTTTTTCCCCACATCAGCTAGCAGTTCTAAGCGGTTCTGTTTTTGCAGGACACTGGAAGGCTGTGAAATCATTACTAAGAAATGGTTAGGGATCACCTTTCATTGTCAACATTTATGAAAGCTTGTAACGTGCTGGAAAACAAAAAAAAAAGCCGACAGGCTATAAAGTGGGAGAGGCCTCCTATTCCCACATCTACGGCTCAGACGCGGGGAAGCTAGAAGCTCCCAGCAGCAGTCTGCGGGTCTGTGCCATCACAGCGCAGTGAAGAATGGATTCATCATCCAGTCCCAGAGCTGTCACAGCTCTCTGTTCAGCGGGGGGGGGGGGGAGACAGGCCACAGGCTGACACATTGTCAACAGCCAGGCTCCCATTTCCCGGCAAAATCAGAAAGACAGAAAAACAGGTAACAGCCAGAGCAAACAACCGTAAGGCTGACAAACACGTTGTAGGGATTAAACCTGAATCAATTACCTGGTATCTAAATGCGTGCTTTTCATTTCTAGCTCTGTGTTACACAGATCTGCAGCTCAAGTGTTAAAGGTGCTGGAAAATAACCAAGCAGCAATCTATCTGCTCACATAAAGGAACATCCTTAATCACATATCAGTTTCCTTGTTTGTTTACAACTACTAATTTGCTTCACAGACAGGGAGAGAACCTGGGGTCAGAGCGCAGGGTCAGCCATTGTACAGCGCCACCTGAGGCAGCTGGGGTTAAGGGCCTTGCTCAGGGGCCCAACGGAGTAGGATTCCTCTGCCGGCTGTGGGATTTGAACCAGCCACAGGTGCAGATCCTTAGCCACGGAGCCACCGCGCCGCCCCAACAGAATATCCCTATTGCTTTGCACAGATGGGAAAATTAGGCTAAAGATGTAACATCCTCAGTTGATAATACTGCACGCTGAACATTTTACATTCACTGACCCTGTTCTCATATGAGCCAGGGAGTCCAGGGGTATAAACCTTCATGGGACTGTGAGCTGGTAATCCCCTCCCATACGGGACAGCTCTGTATCCACCAGCAAGTCAACAGAATAATTTGATAAACGACAGACGAGGACAGCAATAACACTTGATTTTGCCGTCAAGTACAAAGCAAACCCTAGGTTCAGTAGACTACTACTGCTTCCACTCCTCAACTGGCTTTGGCCATTGAGATCCTTGAGATTTTACTACTTAAAATCTGGGAAGGAATGATCAATGCAATAGATGTACAGATGCAATGCACAGAAATACCTCCAACACAGCTACACAGTATGGTGTAGGAGAAAAGCAGGAAAAAAAGTAGTGGGAAGACACAGAAAGCACAGTGGGCAGGTAATGATACTGCAGGGTTATAGGCTTAAGCTCATCTTGGGGGTGGGGGTGTCTCGGTCTGTGTGGAGTTTGCATGTTCTCCCTGTACTGTATCTATGTGGGTTTTTGCTGGGATCTCCAGTTCCCTCATTTACCTCCTAATGGTTAAATTTGTTAACCATGGTTAAAAAATAATCAAACCATGGTTTAATTGGCGGGTCTAATTGATATTATAAATGCACCCAATACAATTAGAACTGGCCAAATGAGCTTGTTGGACCAATTGTCTTCCTCACAACTTGTGACCCTTCTGATGTTCTGGACCTGGGCAGTGGGGACCTAGAGGGGTTTAAAGGGCATCAGCTGGTGCCACTCACTCTCCACGACGGTCTTGCGGTCTGTGCCATCATCGTTGATCTGCTGGATGTTGCCGAAGTGGATGTCGCTGAAGAAGATGCGGTTGGCGCCCTTGCCCCCGCCGCCCCGGTAGTCAAAGGTCAGCGCGATGACGTTCTTCATGTGCTCCGGGTCCTCGAAGGGCTTGATAGGCGCGTTGAGGTTGCTCTCGTCCGACAGGTGGATGCTCTTGAGGATGGTGCGCTCCGAGTACAGCAGGTAGCCGTCGTAGTCGCGGCAGGCGCGCCCGTCCTCCGCCAGCATGCCGTGGGCGCAAGCGCAGGTCCTCTGCCCGTTACCGCGGTACAGGCACAGCTGCTGGCAGCCGCCGTTGTTGTCCTTGCAGATGTTTGTGCCTAGGGGCAGAGAGGGAGGGGTTACTCACCAGTGACAGCAATGCAGTCACTTTTTATCCTGCACACACGCTACAGGCCTCTCACCGGTGACAGCAATGTAGTCACTCTTTATCCTGCACACACGCTACAGGCCTTTAACAAGAAACTAAAAAGATGACACTGTGGGTATGATCTTCAGGCGAAAGAGTGACTAGTGCTCTAAATATAAGTGACTCCATTATGATACAGAATTACACATCATCAGATCTTTCCTGGTCTCTGTTGCAGTCCATCTGTTTTGCAGTATTACTCGTCTGCAAAACAGATGGACTGGAGACACAGCTCCTACATACTGCTGGCTTACAGCAGAGGTCAAGGTTCAATCCATGCCCCTTGAGGCAAGATACAAGTGGGAAGATAAGGTGTCTGTTATAGTGGTGCACAATGCCACAATAATTGGTTGACTGCTATTGGTAGGAGCAAATGCTCATGCTCTAGGAAATTCCTTTCAGTTCTAATGCAAAGTTTCGATTCCTACTAATCCAACACAATTTTACTGGTCAACAGCGGCAAGGCCAATTAAGCAATTGCACATCTGGCAACTAATTGGCTCTGAAGAATGAACGGCCCCACAGTATGAGCACAGGGGTTCCCTCACCCTGCTGCCTGGCTCTGTTGAAGACCTTGATGTCCTTGAGCTGGACCCCGATGCCCGTTCGCAGGGACACCGAGTCGGTGGCGTTGTCCTTGTTGCCCCTCTTGATCGAGCCGTTGGCGTGGGTCCTGCGGGCAGACGTGTTGGAAGGGAGAGAGGGAGAGGGTGGGTGCTCACTCAGAAGAGAGGAACTCGGCACACTGTGCACAAGAACGGGGGAGAGGGATGAGAGAAGAGACGGCACAAGAAGGGAGAATCGAGAAGGTGTGCAAAGAGATAGAAGGAGGGTTAAATGGGGAGCAGAGGGATTCAGAGAGAAGAGGAGAGACAGATGACGAGCCTGCTGAGTCCAGGCACCTGTCACTCCAGTAGATGTAGCCCTCGAAGATGGACACAGAGAACATGTCCATGTTGTTGCTGGCCAGCACCACCTCCCGGTTCTCCCCCGTCTCCAGGTTGATGCGCTCGATCTTGTCCATGCGGGCGTCACACCAGTACAGCATGCCCTCCTGGAAAACACGCAGCGGAGAAAGAGATGGTCAGAGTTTTTCAGGAAGGGCACGAGCAATACAGAGCGAGAGCGAGAGCGTGTGTGTGTGTGTGTGTGTGTGTGTGTTCGGACCTCGTAGTCGATGGAGATGCCATTGGGCCAGCTAATGCTGACGTTGACCAGCACCGATCTCTGGGAGCCGTCCAGACGTGACTTCTCGATACGGGGGTACAGACCCCACTCTGTCCAGAACAGGTATCTGCAGAGACAGGGAGGCAGGGGTGAGACGTACAGAGAGTGAGGGGGATGGGGTGCTGGGCTTTTTTTTCCCCCCACATTCTCACCCTTTCGCTGGGTGCACAGTGACGGCACGGGGCTTGTCCAGACCCTGCGAGATCACCACGTATCGGAACGAGCCGTTCAGCCGGGCCACCTCGATCACATCGAAACCCTGGTCGGTCCAGTAGATATTTCCTTCAAAGAGGGAGAGAAAAAACGATTGCTCTGCTGTCTGCAAAACTCCCGCTAAAAGGTTCTAGAGTACAGACATGACTATTGCACTGCTGGGAGTCTAGAACAAACTCTCCAGCCATGTTGTTGAAGGCGATTCCCTGATTTCCCTCAGGAAACAGCTAGACAAAATCCCCCAATCAGAATGAGAAGCACTAACTTACACAAAGGGTGCTGGGAGTGTGGAACAAGCTACCCAGCCACACTGCTGAAGCCAATTCCCTGACTTCCTCCAAGAAACAGCCGGATGAGATACTTGGTCGAATCAGCTGCTAATAACCAAGAGCTCTGGTTTGTAACCTTTCTTGTAGCAAGCAAGAGGACACACCTTGCTTGCTACAGCAGGTTTCCTTAATGGTTTGTGCTTGGCAGCCCAACAGATTTAATTTCAGTCAACATTTTGGAAATGAGCAAGAAAGGTCCGTCTGGTGAGGGGGAGACACTGTCGCCACCAACAACGAAGGGGAGGGGAGTCATATGGACTCACTTAGCTTTACCCCTCCCTTTACCTGCGATCCAGTCAACGGCGATGCCCTCCACGCGCCCGATGCCATTGGTCACCACGTCCTCGCGCCAGGTCTGGTCCCGTTTGGCTCGGCTGATGGTGCTCAGACCCATGTCCACCCAGTAGATGGTGTCATTTTCTGTGTGTGGGGTGGCGACAGTAGCAATCAAGATAGCATACTGCACTGTACCACAGACAGCACAAATCCACAAATCCGCAAGACTGGGCCAGACAAAACAACGTAAAATCATTTGTTGTTTCGTAATGCACATAAACAACTTGGAATCAACAACCGTTTCTTCATGTCTCAGCTCAGTGCTACACCTGCTGAACTCACATGGACAGAGTGAGCTGGGGTGTCTACAGGTTCTTTCCAAGCCAACTCTAAATCAACCTAAATCAGCTGGTTATTGCATTAACAGCAACATGTTTTAACAGCTCCTCCCAGCTCTTCAGGTTCTGCTGCTTTAAAGACACCAGGAAAACTTGCAGACACACTGACCCCCCAGGAGCAGGACTGGACACCCTGCAGACACACTGACCCCCCCAGGAGCAGGACTGGACACCCTGCAGACACACTGACCCCCCCAGGAGCATGACTGGACACCCTGCAGACACACTAACCCCCCCAGGAGCAGGACTGGACACCCTGCAGACACTCTGACCCCCCCCAGGACCAGGACTGGACACCCTGCAGACACACTGACCCCCCAAGACCAGGACTGGACACCCTGCAGACACACTGACCCCCAAGGACCAGGACTGAACACCCTGCAGACACACTGACCCCCCGGCGA